CGACGAAGAGAATCAAATCGAAGCGAATTACTCGAGATAACATTGAACCGTCGTAATGCAAGATGTAGAGAAAGAGAGAAAGAGAGAGAGAGAGAGAGAGAGAAGAAGGATGTTATATCTATTCGATGCTGTATTCATACATATTTCTTTTGGTATGTGAGAGGAATGCGGATAGCGACACGTTTGTGACTCAATGACAAATCCTCTCATCAGAATAACATCGTTGATAGGAAAGTTCGTTGTCATTGAAGGAATACCGCGTGTAGCTCGATGGATTTCGTTTTAAGAAGAAAACAACGACTCGATGAAAAGGTATCCGCAATACGACTGCGAGAATGCAAAAAAAGAAAAAGAAATATTACATCGATATGTGCAAGAGAATAGGAAAGAAAAAGAAGGAAGAACGAAGAACAGAAGCTGAACGCCCTGGGGAGCCGGCAGCTCGTTACGCGAGACGTGCTGCAATTCTGCCGGTCTCTTTCTCTTCCTCTCTTCCTTTCTTCTCTCTCTCTCTCTCTCACTCTCTCTCTCTCTCTCTCTCTCCTTCCCTCTTGCTCTCTTGCTCTCCTTCCATTTCTCTTCTCCCCATACCCATGTGCTGCTCTCTGATACTCCAAAGCTTACAGTGGTTTGAATAATGTCTCACATATCCGTGTGTATATAGGATCGCATATATACGCGTATCCCTGTACCGTAACAAGTGGGTATTACACCGACGCTTCTGATATCATCGCTATCTATCCTAAATCTATGCCGCTCTTGGCTAAGAGAATGTGCCCGCAATAGATGACGATTATGCTTTATGTATCGTGTTTATTAACGGTCTATGTCTATCTCGTTTACTATTTCATCTTGCATTTTCGCTGATTACATACTATTATCTTTTCTCGTACAATCTTCATGAAGATCTTGTTAATCGATCGCTTTCCTTCTTATCATAAAAATCGATCATTTTACAAAATCGATGATATTCCGTTCTTCTTTTTTGTAGATCTATTTATAGTTTAATATCACAGATTTCTGCGGTAGCACAACTATAATTTCGTTCGCTATGTATCTCTACAAGGATAAGCATGCGCGTCATATTGAATGGTTAATATTATTTAAATGGCATTGTTACTTACATACGCGCAGTCAACGATAGTTTTAATGGCTCGATATCATACATCATTAGGTCTAAACATGTTATAGATAATCCCCATTAATTTATGTATGCGCTCCTGAATATTCGTTACGCTCGTCTATATATATAGTAGTTTCAAGCGATCTTATGTTCTTAAGTTTCCATTAAAATTGTAAATTAATCTTCTTAATATGTTTTACATCTTATGATTTTCTCTCTAAAGAGAGTATTAGTTGTCGTGATGTTTATGACGCCCGTATAATAGAGAAGAGAAAGGAAAAAAAATAGAACATAAGAAACAAAGCGTTTGGAGAGGACTCGGTAATGACTGTCACTACTTTTCCGTCATGTCGGAAACGCATTGCACCGTTTCCGCCAGATCGGAAGTACGGTAACAAAACAATTCCTGCACACGGTCTCGAGGAGTTTATTGCGATGGTTTGTCGCACAGGAACATTTAGTGACATTTCTATGAACTTTGTAGTGCAACTATTTTATCCTTGAAGTTTATCACGTAACGTGTATTTTGTGAATTCCAGAATCCCTCAACGTATTAAGTATTTTTAGGATCCTTAGAAAAAGAAATAAAATAAACTAGCTTCCGTCTGATTAAGATTTAACGTTCTATCGATGTTGCGAACAAAATTTGGCATCTCTTGCATTAATAATAAAAAAGCGATTCATATTTTCTGCCTCCTTTTAAAGATAATATAGAATTATTCAATGTAATATTATATAACACTTTTCTTTTCTTTTGCCGTTCCACTTGAAAATATCTTCGTAATATCCTCACTTGTTCTCTATCCATGATTGATATACGGGGCAATGTCTGTGCTCCTATTCTCACACTTCTACATGATGTGAAATATATTCGTTCTATAAAACTCGTCATGGAAAATACGTTTATAATTGGATAGAAAGGTTTAACTTGGAATAAAATTCATAAACGAATTAAAGAATGTGATGCTTTTCTATTAAAGAATCAGTAAATAATTTAATGTGATTATAGTAGACAATTATGTTTTTCAATAATACTTAATAACAAATACTTATACGTAAAGCGAAAATCGAAATTCGATTTTCCTATTCACTGGTTGTGCTTTTTACCTCATGCCGTCATTAAAGAAAAGAAAAAACCGAAATCATATTTTTAAAGTTATATGAGAGAAAATAAACAAATAATTAAAAATAATAAACAGCTATATATTATTTATCTTGCTCTACAATCAAAATGAACATTTAAATCATTTTGTAATTCTCTAAAAACGATTATAAAAGATTTTTGAATAATAAAACAAATCATCAAATAAAACGGATCATGGGATGATCCGTCGGCTATAAAGAATATCCCAAAAGAAAAACAACGACAAGAATGTCCGTTTTCAAAATAAGCAACGTAACGTAGCATTCGTGTTATCACATCGTGGATTACAAGAAGCGCGCCAACCATATTATAGACGTGTTCGAAAGAGGTTCCTGGCAATGATCCCGAATATGCGTTTGTATTACTTTTTCAAATATGAACCAACCGAGATAGTGCACTATGAGCAAATTCATGTCGATGTGTATACGTCTACGTCTATCTGTGTGGAGACTCGTGGCGTAAAGAAAACTCGTGGGGGTGACTCCGGGAGTAGATACCGCAACCATCTCCGTTTTATGAAAATTGCACCGACTATTTAAGTTACCCCGAAATGTTCACCTGAAATATGTTATCCCCATCTCGCGATTAATGGTCGTTATTTTATTTGGAATACGTTGCTACCATGTAAACTTGCATTTCGAGTCATGAATAGAGCGTTCCGTAATCCATATCTTTATCCTATGCACAGACATGACACTCTTCTTACGAGTTCTCTCAGCACTATCTGTATATTTTCTTTTTTGTTTTTCACTCATACTCTCTATTTCTTTTTCTTTCTTAGATTGTTAGAAATTCTTAGAAAATTCGCGTACAAATCGATATCGTCGATAAAACTGTCAATTAGTAACTGTTTTTCTCGGTTTGTCGACTTTATCCACAATCATCCTTAGATTCTCGTTAATCCTGTCATATTTTTCATTCTTTTTCTTTTATCGCCATTATCTGTCTTTTTCGGTCGGTATTTACGCGTGCAACTGATAAACAACTTGGTGAGGTCGCACTATTTCCGATTCCAAGATCGAATCGATGCAATGGGTAAACAGAGATTTCGTATGTAATTCAGTGGACGAACATTTTTTATGTCCTTATCTGTATCTTCGATGAATTCTGTTAATATAAATATTATAAATGATAAGAAGTAAAAAAACAAAAGAAAAAGCTATACGTCTTATTTATGTACCACTTTTTACTCTGATATTAACCTGAATTACCCAGCATGTGTTTTGTCTTTGAAAACAAAGAAATCGAAAAAATACCGAATGCATTTTATTTCATTATCAAAACACAAAAGATCGCAGTCGACAATTGAAATAAAATCATTGCATTCTGTTAACAATATCTATATACAATTATCGATCGCAATGATTTTGTGATGGTTAACGGTCGATAAGGAAAGTTCTCGTCGATCTCGCGAGTATCCTACACTCTCGGAATGGGAGGTACGGTATAAACCTATAGCAGAAAATTTCCGATCTCGATTCTGAATTTTTAATTCGATTGAAATGCTAAAAGCTCGCTTTCCAATTCGGATTCAAAACTAAACGGCTTTGCAATTCGAACGTGCAATCCTCGAAATCCCCAGCGTGCGATTACATGCAGCAACATTGAATCGCGATTTCGCGCGCTCACATCATAAATTATGCGCTTCCGGTCCTCTCACCATGGGGAAAGAATGAAATAAATGGGATGAGGTGGTGGTGCCGACGACGATGGGGACGAGGTGATGGCGCACGCGCTGTAAAAATGTGGAAATGTCCCTTATACAACGAAATGAGAAAAAGAGAGAGAGAGAGAGTCGTTGAATAGCAGAGGGGTGGCGTGTGGTGGAAAAGAGGAACGAAGTGCGCGAACGCGGAAGAGAGAGAACGAGAAGAGAAGAGAAGAGAAAGGGTACAATTAAAATTAGTGCAATTCAGTCACTTGCCGGTAATTCGCATGCCTAGCATTTATATTATTAAACCGCGCGAATTTTTCTCGCCTTTTCCATAGCCTTCCCCACTTTTAGAATAACGGACGCGTAGATACACGTTCACGTACATGTATCACCTAGTTTTAAGCGTGTAGATGTACATGGACGTTCATCTCTCTTTCTCTTTCTTTTTCCACCAAGCGACCATTTACATCGTATTCGTTCTCAGTCTCGTTCGACTTTCAGCTTCGTGAACCGAGTGCGAGAAAGTGAGAGCTTTAGCTATGACCACTATCCTCCGAGACAAGGAAATAATTCCTGGTTTTGAAATAAATTATATCTAATTGTTCTTATTACGAGGATGATAGGACTTTATTATTCTCTATTCAATCTGGTGCCTGCGGCACCTCAACATTTCATCACATTCCTACCATTTATCATACGATTTTTCAACCTCGCGCTCTATACGAGCTCTTATATGATTACACGTACGTACGTACCTACGTATATACAGTACCTGCGAATATCTCGCTTGCAGTTGAAATTTTGTGCGTATATGAAATATTGCGCGATCTACAGTTGCGCATTTTTAACTGACGAAACGTGCATGCTGAGTAATTCTTGTTAAACTGTCGTTCCTCTTTAAAACAAGGTCACTCTCATCCGATATTGTTGTTATAACGGTATTCCAATTTCTAACGTGACGTGTTATATCCATTCATTTTCTCTATCAATCCTGAGGGATATAATAGATAGCATTTGCTTCGTTTAGCTTGCCTTTTAAAAAATACTTCGTGAATGAAATCCAACTATGCTGATCTTACCTTCGGATGTGTTCTCCTTGGAAATGCTACCTTCGGGTCGATCTGAAATAGAAAAGAATAAACAAATATGATTAAGTGGTTCGTCTTGAAACAAGCGAATTCGTTGAATAAAAAGAAATAAGAAAGTTAGGATTTCAGTTAGCTCACACGGATATCTATTGTTAAGAGGATTAGGCTAAAAGAACAACATATCGCGGTAGGGTATCTCATGGTCTAAGCTCGGTACAGCACACTCATTTTCCTTGTACGTGCTTTCGCGAATACAACGGAAAACGACAACTACGAGGACGACTAGAGGATGCTCGACGCTCGAAGTAAATCTCGGTCGACCACAAAATCACGTTGGTACGAGCAAGAGTAGTAGATATAGGTACAGAAAACTGAACGCAGATGAAAGATACACATTCGCTTGCGTGGGAGGAAGATGGCTGAGTAACACGCGCAAAAGTAGAAGCCGGGAAAAAAACGATCCGTTGCGAGTCGGGTACTTTTTCATCGAGCGAGCTCCCGCATCTCGATCCGCTTCCAAGTAATATACGAAAGTAGTTGAACGTTTTAAAAACGTTGGGAGGGGATAAAATCGGAGCCACTTTAAAGTAAGAATTTATACAGAGTGAGTCACGTAAAACGAAACCTTTTCATATCTTTGAATTTGATGATACGGAAAAACGTAAATATAAATTGCATCGTTTCGAAAAATGATGAGAAAAATAAATGTCAGGGTTAGTTTAATCTATATTATGATATCACCATGATGATGCTTATACACGATAATATGTAAATTTATTTAAAAGAATTGATAAACTTTACCGAAAATAATTTTACTTATTGAATCAAAATACAAAATATTTTCTCATATCTTAAAAATTCTTGATGAACTTTGATTCAATCTGTATGAATACTATCTCGAAATCAATATTTCAGTCGCGTCAGAACGCGTGAACGTTTCATACGAGGCACAGATGAAAATTTTTGCCCCGCTTTGGTCGTGCAAAACGCATTACGCGAAAGTAATAAACGTCGATCTCGTTTAACATCGATCAATGGTAGCTAGTACACCAATGAGGATGAGGAAGAGAAGGTCGGTGGACATGAGGAGAACGATGACGACGTCGACGTCGGTAGTGGTGACGCTTAAAGCGGTTTAGTCTTCCCTCCTACGTGACGAAACTCGAGAACGTGATCCTTCGGGAGTGCCCTAATTCTTGCTATACTACCTCCCTTTCTCCCTTCGCTTTCGCTCTACGCTTTGACCAAACGGCGTAATCCAAAATTTATTCAGCTGGTGGTGCAGCTGCCGCGTTGCCCTATCGGATAGGGACAAGCCATTTATGCTGATTAGTGTTGCTTTTGCGTGGTACGGTTTGTTTATCAGCGAGACTACTACCGTCTTATCGGCATCGTCCCTATCTAGAGTCACGTTCTAATACACTCGACGCATTCCACTATCTCGATCTAACGCGCTCTCTCTTAGCTTTCCATCACCGATTCTAATACTCATACTCTCTCTTTCTTGTAGAAGATGCCAGATCTCCTCGTCCTTTGGCTTCTATGCTTCGCCTCATCAATACGATAATTTACTAAATACATTTAAAGCCCACAGCTATTCGACCAACTTGGTTTTAATACATAGAAATATTATTGGCATATATGATCCATGCAATGGTTTATAATGATTCTTTCCTACTTGTAGATCATTAGATCGTTCATTTGTATTATTCCCAACTTTTCGTTTTATTCTTTTAAGATTAATTATCTATCAACCTGCAATTCCTTATATTTTATCAATAAAATCGATCTTTTTTATCGACAATTTGAAAAGAAATACCGAGAAAATCACAGAATAAGGTATTAATTTGATTTTTCATTTTTCCTCCAAAAGTATTCTTTGTTCTGCCAAATTTCTTCCCGTAAAAGAAGAAAAGGATAGCAGATGAAAGAGGAATGATTGAGCAATTCTCCTTCCCTAATTTTGATCTCTAATACTTTTTTTAACCACGAGTATGATTACTCTTGATGCGAAGGAAGATAAACATATAGCTCGGAGGTAACATGGAAAGTTGTAATGACAAGCAAGGAAAGTGATCGAACAAAATCAATGAGTAGGAGAATGATAGAGAGAGAAAGCGAGAGAGGGAGAGGGAGAGAAAGAGAAAGAGAAAGAGAGAGAGAGAGAGAGAGAGACTATTCCGTTCCGTTTACAGTAGCCGTGCGCTACCGGCATGGCTTCCCATCTCTTGCTCCGTTCGTTCTTTCGTTCATCCTCTCTTTCTGAACCTCTACCAGTTTGCATAATCCTTTACGGCAAAGTTCACACTGGTTGTCGCTTCGTACTCACTCCGAATCGGGAGAACTAAGTCCATCAAGCGCCTCGCGACGTTGACTGAAGAGAGAAAGATAGAGAATGAGAGAAAACTTGCCATCTTTCTCTATCACTCTCACTCTTCCTACTTTTGTGTTTGTCTTTCTCAGTCGTACTTTCTCCGCTTTCTGACTTTCTACGCGGCTCGCGGAAAGAGAGAAGAAGGTAGAAGAAGAAGAAGTAACGTCCCATGGGAAGTTGCTTACTACCCCCGCAGGAACAAGTTACAACGGATTCCACACGGCGCAACTTGTGCTCGCGACCCTCCAGTCTGAGAAATAGGATTACCAACTCTCCAACGTGTTTTACATAATGAATTTCCCTCTACAAAATTCCTTGAACGCAAAACAGGACTCTTGCTTAACGCGTTGATCTTGGTGCATATACCCGAAAGTACATGTGAATATATGTAAAAACGTATGTGTCTGTGGACGTAGAGTATATCTAACATCTAGCAGATAACTTAACAAATTCTCTCTTAATTCTTGCTGATCTTATACTCTACTAGCTATTTTAACTCTACGTCGACTATATATTGCTTTCAATATTTTTTTCTAATCGCTATTCGATAATTAGGGCCACTTTTCTCAGTCCTATTCTAATATATTAAAACGTTGAAGCAGACTAAACAAAAAAGTTTGCAATTACAGACTTTCTTTTTCTTTTCTGGATCTATAGTGTTTCTTTTCTAATACATATTTCATTTTCAAGAGATATAAAGAATACACTGTTATAGTAAATGATGAGAAGAAAGCGAATAAAATAGAATAGTGGAAGATATTGAATTATTGTGGAAGTATGAAGAAAGAGAAAAAAAGATAACATTATAGAGAAAAATCAAAAGACACTAAGTCGTTTTCAAAAATATAACCAAGTTACCTAATATCTCACGAAAAGTCACTAAGCATCGACGAAAAAGACAACGACAATTACGATAGAAATTCAATCTGGTTGGCATGCCTGAAAATTGGAAGAGTCATCTATACCCTCCCGTTTCTCGTCTCCTATCTAGGCGATTCTGGAAAGAGAGAACCTTGACTCGAATAGGAAGCATTTGGAAAAGTAATTCACAATGCTATTCTTCGAGTTTCGATTCTCTAGGCGTTCTCTCGAATGGCGGAATCTTCGTCTTCAGTGGTACATTTGGGAGTAATAGAAAGAGAAATTTCACGCGCGAGAACGTGCTAATTTCTTCGAAATTCAAATTCGATCGACTAGCATGGCTTAAAAGCACTTCATAAAGAACTCTAACCCCTGATAATTTGATAATTGTACGATGTAAATATTATCTATAAAAAAAGAATAATTTTACGATATAATATTTTTAATGCGAATGATTAATGTTGTGCATACCCTTGATGATAATGCATACCCTTGATGTTTAGGAAACTCAATAGATTCCAGAAATGATGATGCGCACAAGGAATCGAACCCATTAATTCTCAAATAATTTACGTATTTCAACAGGGAACCACAAAATTCTATGATCTAGACTTCCTATTCGCAAAGCAAATCGAATGATCCTATGCACGAATAGATAGATAATATAAATGAATGAAGTCACGATTCCAAGAATTTCAATTTACGATCAGTAATTTTGAACATAAGATATAATTAATACTGCTTCGGGATTTGGTACAATTCCATTAAAAACAATGAGAACTCTTTTTAAGAAATGATTTCTCGTCTTTCTTCGTTCTTTTCTTTCGTATTTATTATTTACCTTCATATTTTAATCCTACGTACATATGTTTTGTAAATTTTTTTTATTAAAAGTAAGAATAAAAATTAGACATATTTCGATCTTTATATGGTCTCCAAAGTTTTTTTCATTAGTGCCTTGAGACTTCGAGTTTAAGAATTAACGAAGAGATCCACTTTAAAGAATCGAAAATTCTATGTATCTAAAAATGCATCATTCAGCTAACAAGAAGATTATAATTATTCTTTATTAAAGAATTCTAAACCCGAATTATGTTTGCATATAGCAACGCATCGGTGAGATTTCACATCTCTCTCGAAATTTCGCATTAAAGAACTTTTTCGGGTCGGATTCGATATCAAGTTTCTTTCAACACTTCATGTTGAAAGTTAAGTGTGGACTTAAATGGGTGGATAGAAAGAGGGGTCTAAGCATTGCTCAAGGTTTAACTTCAGTCTCGGTAAGATCGGAGTAAATATCTGCGAGCTACAAGTGGGAGATTTTCTTACTCTCTAACCCTTCTCCTGACGCACTCCTTCCATCGTGCTTTACTCTTCCTTCAAGCTTTCTCTTTCTATCTCTAATTCTGTCTGTCTCCACCGAACATTTTGCAAGTTCAAAAAGTATCGAATAGTTTTGTTGGTTACATAATAGAAGTTGAAAGGTTTTCAACGATAAAGAAACTTTTGATTGACGCATCTTTTAACGTTTCCTCTATGATTTTCTATGCGTTTCCTTTCTTTGAATAGTGCGAACTTGTTTCGTATCTTTCTTTAAGACGAATCAGGGAATGTCTCTAAGTTATTTCTTTTTTCTTTTATTCAAGGTATTTTCTAAAATGTTTTTTTCGAATTATATTCGAAGAAATAAACTGAAAAACAAAAAGTGTGTTTTTTTTCTTTTTTACAGAAAACTCGGAACCATGAAGAAGCGCTGAAATGTAAAATACCAAACATCTTTCAAAGATTTCTCACGTAT